TAACGTAAACTAACTACTACGTATACTAGTTACGTACTCGTTCTCGTACGTACTACTACGTAGTAGTACGTACTACTACTACACGTGTGTGTTTTTTATTCATTTCTATCAATGCATGAAGAATGATACTGAGTTCTATATTTTAATAGTATCTGAAAGGAACATTATTAATCCAAAAACTTTAAATCACCATATTCATATTATTATTACTCCAGTGTACATTTTAAATCACCATACCCCACATCATTACTCCAGTGTATATTTTAAATCACCATACCCCACACATTACTCCAGTGTATATTTTAAATCACCATAATATTACTAGAACGTATATTTTAAATTCCCATAATATTACTAGAATGTATATTTTAAATCACCATATCCATGTTATTACTCCAGTGTACATTTTAAATCACCATACCCATATCATTACTCCAGTGTATATTTTAAATCACCATATCCATGTTATTACGCCAGTGTATATTTTAAATCACCATATCCATGTTATTACTCCAGTGTATATTTTAAATCACCATACCCACATCATTACTCCAGTGTATATTTTAAATCACCATACCCAAATTATTACTCCAGTGTACATTTTAAATCACCATATCAATATTATTACTCCAGTGTATATTTTAACTCACCATACCCACATCATTACTCCAGTGTATTTACATTAGTTTTTAATAGATGTGAGACCATTGGCTGTACTTCTGTTTGAAAGAACACAAAAAATGATCTGTCAGTGATTAATTTTTTTTTAACAACTGTGGTATGTCACCAGCTACGTGTTTCAAATGGAACTTATTTCTCTGTCCATGGCAAATTGAGTTTGAAAGCACCTTGCAGGTGTATTTGCAAAATGAATAGGGTTTACCCAGCTTAGCTTGACAAAAATTAGCTATCAGAGTAGAGGTGTTAAAAATGTGTGGTTGTTCATTTCTGACTAATCCCCAATGGATAATTTCACACTCTTTATTTCAAAGCATCATGGCTGATTCCCAAGATCAGGTGCACTGTTTAAAAGTACCACTGTATAATGTGGTATTTATATAGTGGGTTCAAGTAGTTGGTTCTTTCAGTTATACTATCAAAAAATAGGCATACAATTATCACTATTTGGAACAAAATTTGATATTGTCTAACTGATGTACTAATACATTTGATACAGTAGAAACAAAATCACATGAGACTGGTCGGAACTGCGATAAGAGCAAATTATATTCCAGAAATGATGGTCTCCACTTAAGTAGACTAGATAGAAAGATGTTTGTGGAAGTTCTATAGAGAAATTCATTAAATACAGTTTAAACTAAACTTGCATAGTGGTGAGAGAACTTGGGAAATTATTCAGAGCTTAACAAGTAAGTTAATAGTTTAAAAGTTAAATTTATCCTAATTTAAATATAATGTTAGTTGTTATTAATGTAAAGTTAGGAGTATCATGAACAAAAAAAGGATGTGTTGAAGTTGAAATGTGAGACAATGATATAATAAGTGGGAATTACTCAAACTTGATTAGATTTGGAGAATAATGATAATAGGAACTATTTTGAAATTCTACGTTTTAATTTATTTAATAGTGATGACTTTTTAAAAGAGAAAGTGGGGTGGCTCTTCATACAAGTAAAATAATGGATAAACTATATCCTATTGGGAACAAAGACTTAAAAATGGTTGTTAGAGTTTGAATCTACATGGGTTACAATCAGTGGTTTCAAGATAGAAAGTTTTTGGTTGGCAAATCATTATAGGCCACCTGATCTTACAAATGATGTCAATGAGAAATAGTATAATGAGATAAGGGTTTTTACTAATGAAGATATTGATGTGATAATAATGGGAGCCTTAAACTGTTTCGGGATTGCAGAGATCATTTTTGGTTTTGATTGCACACTTGCATACCAAATTTCAAATATAAGTAAAAATTAGTAACCCTAACTCCATTTCAACAATCTTTAATATAACCTTTTGTTCCCACCTGTTTATGCTTTTGCAGCATGTGATTTGAATAACTACTACTGAAACCTAGCTTTGAAAATAGTTACAGGAAAAATTTAACACAGGACAGAACATATTATAAACTATTTACATTGGGTAAATTAAGAGTGATATGAAAAGTGATTTACAAGTTCTTTACAGATTTATTAGAAATCGTTTCTGTAGAAAGAACAGGATCTCGTGGGAAGTTATGTAGACTTAAAAACAAACCACATATCTGGGAAAAATTTCTTGTTTCTTCAGATAATCTTTCATTTCTGAAAATGTTTTCAAGTTTAATTTACATTTGTTTTTTTTTCAGTAATAAATTTCTTTCAAATTCACATTTGAAAATTTATTCCAGCTTTACATATTTTTTGTATGTTTAGTGGTATGCACTTGCTGACTTCACTCCCTGAAGAAATCATTTTGAGATATTCTTTTTAAACTCTGTTTAAAACATTTTAATAAATTAATATTCTTCAAACTGGAAACTATTTTTTGTATTATTATGTACAAAAAATGATTTGTTTGACATCATGTTCTTTGCAATAGATCTATGAAAATACCCATATTATAAAGCATTGTGTGTGTGTGTGTGTTTTCAAGGTCTGTCACCCTTCAATGAAAGTAATTTAATCATTTCCATACTTTACCAGTGTTGTACAATTAAAATTCATTACTATTCACAAAGGTCACGACCTGCTTTTAGTTTATACAAGCATTTTTCCCTAATTGGTAGATAATTGCACTACATCAGCTGTTACTACAGACTGAGTTCTGGCTTATACTTCAAAATTTTCTTATAATATGTAAATATTCAATGAACACAGTCAACTATCTTGTTAGAAATATGATAATTTTCAGAAATAAGATGAAAAGCTAATCAACATGTTTTTAAAGACAAAATGATGTTTTATGTATGATTGACATACTTATTTGGTAATAAATATATATAAACTATTTAAAAAAAATTACAATTAAAATGAATCTTAGCAACTATAAAACATTTTATTTGATTGTTACAACTACCAAGCAAATGCAGGCTGACTATAAAAATGATAAGAACTTACAAATAAATTAGTTGTAAATTCATACAATCACTCAGATGAACATTTTTTTCTATAGATGTATCCAGATGTTTTTTAAGGTTTTTCAAAAGAAGTCAATCAATGTCTTATAACTCTTGCCATGCTACAGAGTGTTTAGACTAAACATGGAGTGGCAGTATAAGAAAGTAAGAGAACTATTTAGAAATTGTGAAATCAATAATTATATTTTAGACAAAACATTGTGTGTCCAAAACATATTTCAAATAGCCATTTTACTAGTGTTACCACTGCATTTATTTAAAACACTTATAAAATCCAATATTCACAGTTACAACTATTTCTTTACTTATCCAGTGATTTTTCAGCAATAACCTGATTCTACAAATAAAAGAGAAACCTCACATCTACAAGTACAAACAGTTATTGGATAGGAAACTGAATAAATTTACTAAAGAATTCTTCCCTTAAGAAAGAACATTTACAAATAAAAATGCAAAGAAACATGAAGTCTTGTTTTTTTGCATTTGTTTATTTGTTTACACAATTTTGAAAAGATATTTATTCCCTGATTTCAGGAAAAGCCTAACAATATAACTTATAAATCTTATATATGTATATACACACAGCCGAAATTTCTTAATTAAACGTTACATCCCTATTAATTAATTATTTCACAACAATTACACTGTTACATTTAATATTTTAAGTAGTTGTCACACAAACTTATCTTACCTTTTCATTGTTTTTCCACAAATGCTTAATATAGGCAAAAGTTACTTGTGGATGAGTTGTGGGAAGAACTGTGTCAGAATGTCCTTTAGGATCAATGCCAAGCAACATGACTAATGTTCTATTGGACAAGTTCTAGTGAAATTTTCAGGAATGAAAATTAGCATTTAAAATTTATTCAAAGATAAACAAAATTTGAAAAATAATAAAAAATATATTAAAGTAATCTCTATACTATAAAACTCTTATTCAGAATAATTTTATCATATCTAGATAAAAGAAAACCATATTTTGAGATCTAGGAAAATCTCTTACATCAAAAAGTATTGACAAGACCAAATGTTACTTCACACGATTCAACTTGTTTAAACACACTGAAAATAGGCTATCAATTGACATACAGAGCTACATAAAAAATGATCACACCATGTATTATTATCAGATATTTGTTCAAACATACCAGCCTTCCAACTTTACGACACAAGCTGGCATACTTCATCCACGTTCTCATGTCTTCCTGCGGAGGAACTACCAGAGAATGAACTTGTAGGATTTTCTGCCAGTCTTCTACCACCCGCTGACAACCCTGTTGCCAAATAGATGAGAAAAACAACAAACATTTAAATATGAACTTGTATTATCTTGTTTATAATTTATACTTATAAAGCACAAAAATCTGTGTGTCTGTCTGTTTATCCGCTATCTAATTACTCCTAGGTTACTGGGCCAATCTCAAACAAACTTTATGGGATTACAGTTTGGAACAAGAGGCATGTTAATGGTGGTTCACAACCCTTCCACCCCCATTATTGATGTTACTGAGCATTTATTATATTTGATGTAAATTAACATTAAGTACATTCATAGATGGCACCACATTTTTACACCAAACAACAACAAAAAACTTCATACAACACAACATACATACAGTGTGGGGCACACAAATGTCATATATGTCTTAAATGGTGTGCTAGCACTCTCTATGGAGGAATGCAATGAAAAAAATAGCTGCCACTATTGCAATAATACACAAACTCAGCTGAAGTTTCTACTCCAACAGCCACCATAAAGTTTACATGAAGAGCTGTTTCTTGAATTATAACTACTTCCTACTTTGACCCACGACCTTACAACTTCATCCCGTAAGATCTGTGGAAGAAAAAAAATACTTATATATTCTCTCACCATTTTTTCACCCACAGAAGTTAAATAATTCTCAATACCTGTAATCTATCCCACCACTTTTGCTTGATTGCCTCTTTTTTTTCAGGAATCAGTTTGTACTGAATAACCTCCTCCAACTCGGCTAACATCTGAACATGGACCATAGCCTACAAACACAGTAAGAAATCAATCAATGTCACTGATATATAATTGACACAATACCTGCATTAGGATTAGTCATCTGTGGTTAAAAAACCAAAATTAAGTAACAGATCCCTCCTTTATAATTATCTGTAAAGTAGTTATGAGAAAATGTAAACACTCTTACATTTTAATCTTTATGTCCTAAAAAATATTTCTCACACAGGACAGATCCCATGGTCTCTAATATGGCTATATATATATATAAACACAAGCTTCACAAGTATGCATTGTTTGCATAAAGCATACTACTCTTCAGACTACTCTAAATAAAACAATAGATCAACATAAGTCAGCAAGATCTAATGAAAGCAGTCAATTTTCATAACTGTTCATTTACGAAAAGTTACATCACAGCTAAATGCTAACACTGATAAATAAACAGTGTACATGTACCCATATGTATATGAATATCTGTAAAACATTTACAAAAAAGCTGAACAATTGTCTACTTCCCTACAATGCTGTCGTCTATTTTTTTAATAAGATAAAGTTTTAGCAAGTCAAATACTGACACACACATTGTTTCTGTATTTCAGTCATACATACATACATATAGTAGATTTAATAAAATAAGATGGAGAGAGGAATCAGCACTGAAAAACAGATTCTAGTAGTATTAATCAAGTGAAAAATAACTACCTAAAAAATCTGTTTTGAAACTATTGGTACAGAAATTAATATTTAGAATAGCCACCCTGTAGAGTCCTAGAACACAGATCTACTTACACCATATGCTCTGTTGTAGCTCTCTCCAGCCATTGCTGTAAGTTCAGTGTCAAGGAGGTCACGAGCTTTATCTATATGCTGAAGGAATGCATAAACAAATAACATGTTAGGGTAATAATGGCTGGAGATGGCTTAAATGGGTAATGAAGAAAAACTTTAATATAAGTTTAACATGACAGCAAATGTACAACGTTTCGACAAGGTTTTGTTAGGGTAGAAAACACAGCTACACTTTACAACATGAATAAAAAAAACAATAAAATGCATGTGAAGTTTCCTATTATCTGATAAATATGAGCATCATTACACACTAAGTTGTTTTTACTTCTGATCCTGCCCACTCTTATAGTGTCACAAGAAATTTATTAAACACTCAATACCAAAAATATTTCAAACCTCTACCTATAGTATAGACTGGCCCTTACTTCGTGGTTATACAAATTAGGTATTTACATGTTAATAGCATATCAATTATTACTGCAGTTTCTCTTATTAGACAAAGCTGTTTTTTTTATTACCATAAATGTAAACTCTGAAAACAGTGACTTTTGATTTGCCAGTCAGCTTGACCATCCTTGCAATTGAGGCAACTGTCAATTGAGCCTTAACAATAGTGTTCTTCAAAGTTTAATAAATCTTTTTTCTTTCCCATTATAGCAGTAATAGATAAATCTGGTTCCTCTGAATGGTCATATATCTGCTCTTTAATACTTAGCCACCCTAGCTTTTCTTACATTGGTGCACAAATGAATAATGACTGAATTTTTCAAATTAGAATTATTGTAATTAAAACCCACAAGGCACAGGTAACTCACAAATTAAACCTCCAATAATAACTTGAGTTAGGGAAACTCACTCAGTTCAGGGTTCAACATGTTTAATCTGAAGATCATGCTCAACGACATGATAGCAACAAATATTGGTGAGATTAAATATTATTCCTGAGCTAATAATACCATGGCAAGCTCTAATTTTTTGTCATCTTAACTGTTGATTCTAAAAATTGTTGTTGAATGAAAGAAAACATGTTTATTTAGAAAATGACACCTTAATTTGCTAGCTTGATCAAGCAATTATTGGAACTACAAAGCTAGTGTAGTTACAACCGAAGACTTATTTGTTCAGCCCAAATGAATCCCTAATGGAATAAGCCCAGTTAAACTGTTCTTTCATCTGGGTTAACAGATTTTTTTGTAACTCCTAAATCAAAATTTTATACATTAAAATAAGAAAAAGGGAAATTGAAAATGATATTTTACTAAATAAATCAGAAAATATTCAAGTTGAGTACTTAAACAAGTTTTAAGGTAAAAAAAAACTGTATTTGGAACTTTTCTGCATAAATACATGATTATGCTTAAATAATTATAAAACTGAATCATATTTTAACCAAATCATGTCAAACCTCTGGTAACATATTTTTGAATTAAAAAAAGAAAAAAATGAAAAATAATTATGTAATTTTAGCAACATTTCTATGATAAATAATGATAATAATAACTAGAATGATATAAACATGTTTTTCTATTACCAACTGAGCTTTCTGAAAGTCATCTCTGTGAACAGACAACACTGCTTGGAAAAAGGCTCTGTCCATGCTTTCCCGTGGTATTACTTGGGCATACTCTTCCAAATTTGCCCAAGCACCTAAAATAGACCAATATGATTAACTAGCTTCTAGGGGAAAATAAATAAAAGCATTCAGTATGATGTAAAAATGTAGCAGAGGTCAAATGTTTTCAGAAATTAATAATTCAGAACTCAAAATTTCTCAAGCAGTATCTAGTAAAATTCAAAGCTTATACAGTAGACTAGAACTAATATTACATATTATTTACCAATACATGAAAATAACTCTTATTAACTTCTCTAAAAAATAGGAGCTTGTTTGCTTCAGCATTTGTTAAAGAGTTCTTTCCTTACAAGAAATCAGATGCAACTTTAGTTGTAGTTTCAAAAAAACTTACAAACTAGTATCATTCAACACCTGCTTATAATGTCCTGATATAGTGATACTGGATATTCAGTCTACTAAACATCATGATTTAACAGCTACATTTATTGTAAGTCTGTCCACTTTAAATTTTTGAGATGCTTGTTTAAACAAATTTTTACCGTATCTATATTTAAGAATTACCAAAAAGTCGAACAAGTGGCTTATGATTTAAAGTTGGCAGGAAAAACTAAATGTTTTTGTGCTATAATTTGAATAACACCAAACCATTATATTTATTTTTTTATATATTTTCTTGCTCGTAATGGTGATGTATGAATATTGTCTGCAAAGCAACTGAAAAATAAATCAACAGCTTAACAAACACAAGGAGCTTAAAGAAAATCAATACTGTAATAATAATAGTAATTAAAACTAGAAATTGTTAATAATATTACCTAAGCCCCAGGCTGCTGCTGCAGCCATTCGTGCCATTCTTTGGCGATCTCGATCCTGAAACTTGTTCCAAGATTCTCTGGCCAAGTCATTCAATTTAGACCTAGCAGAATAAAAAAGATAAGACTTTAACAGAAAAAAAAAAAAACATTCATGAAATGAGTCTTACTGGTAATTTTACCTGAATAAAAATAATTAAAATTTACGAAGATTTTTAAAAGACATGATAAATTCACAGACAAATCATTTGTAGTGGTCATCTACATATTGTACACTGCATAGTTTCTTTCTAAACATAAATGGACTGATTTTGTACAAAAATTAAAGAAATGAAACATATTATTTCTTTAATGAATCTGGACAAATTCTAAACTAAATATGGGTAGGGTCACAAATTAGTATTTGTGTGAAAAAACTAATATTACTTCCTATGAGAGTCATAATTAATTCTAATTACATACAGTGTAAGTTATTAAAAAACATACATATGCTTTGTTTCTAAAACACTAAGTAAGAAATAAAAGGGAAAGCTTAGTAGACCCACTTCACCAGTATACAGCTCCTCATAAGAAATCTCTATCATAATGTAATAATTCTTCTCTGGAAGAAAAAAAAAGGATACTACTCAAATTTTCAGTAAAGACAGACCATTTTGTTACCATCTTTGTAATAAACTATATTATCAACTTAGCCTGATAATAAATTAGTGATTTTTGTTTTATTACTAGATATCAATTAGTTTATACCCCGTGTTCCCCTCGATAGTATATAGTCTGTTTCATCAATGGTAGGGACAATATTTGATCTTAGGTTTTCTTCTTGTTACAAAGGCTAGTGATCTATCCACTCATCTGGGGCCTTACATGTGTCACAGACCTTGAATCAACATACTCAGTTAAACATTATAGAAAAGATTTTAGAATTCATGAACCACACAAATGCATAACATCTTGTGATAAAATTCAAAATATAGACAGGAAAGGATTAAACTCCCAAACCTAGATGGTTATGTGACATTTCACAGCAATAAAGGGTAAAAATTGACATCACAAACTGCACAGTCTCCAGAAAAAAACAAGATTTATAACACAGAAAATATTAAGTAAGAGGAAGAAAAATACATCACTACAATTCTCTTTGAAAGTGGAGGCTCCGAACACTTGCTAAATAAAAAATACCCTTTAAGAAAATTACATACAGCCATATTTCTAATGTCAAAGAACTCTAAAAACATACTAAGGATATGCAAACACTATAATTTAAGAAAAGTATCCAGAAGTCAGAAAACAATACACACCAATTTCCTAAAGACCCAACATAGGATATAACCTAATTAGTAGTTAAAATCTAGAAACAAAAAAAGGCTAATTAATAATTAGTAATAAATATGACAACTCTAAACACAATACATAAAAGAACTTATTACTTACTAAAAACAAACTATATTTATTATATGTAAATTAATTTTGAGCATGCATATTAGAGGGGTTTATGTAATCAGAAGATACTGCCATTAACTACTGTACCTACTAAACCTAACAAGCTTACCTTAGCTGATACTTTGTTGTAGAAAGAAAGCATTATAGCTTTCAGGTAAATTAAATTTAACACAGAAATATTTTTATGAATCAAAAGAATGCCTAAAGAGACTATAACAAATTCTCAAATCTATAGTTTGTTCCCAAGTCTTCTAAACTTCCCATTAGATTCATCTGTTCACCTCTATAGTTTTATATTTGTCAAGAAGCTACCATCCCATGCCTTGTTTCTCTTTTGATTTTCCTTCTCTCTTTGAAATTTTATTATTCAGAATCTTTTTCACACCTTTCTTCATGTCACATGTGGTCTGAAATAATGAAGCACATTTTGAAAATAGTCACAAGCAAAGTTTAAGTACCATTAGATAGAGAAGATTAGAAGCTGTATATATCAACGTAGAATGAATGAAGTGGTGTAGACAGTAACACATGGTTTTGTTGGAAATTCAATAGACTAAACTCCTGTGGAGATGAACAAAGGAACTTGCAGGGTAATTATAAAGACAGTTTTGCAGTTCAGGATATTTCACAAATAGTACGGAGTAGGAGCATTATGAATATCGAGTAGACACAAATGCCACAGTTTTCTCATGTTGCCACCAGGGGCACCACTCTGATCAATCATAGAAGCTGCTTATAATGTGCTCCTCCAGCATCCCAAATGCACCGTATCCATGAAACAATGGACATTACATGACAATGTACATCTCATCAGGTATGCTGGCTACATACTAGACAATTGCATCCTTGAGGGAAGGGTGCATCAAAGATTTGAATGCTGACCCCCTTATATGCTCCACGGGATGTTAAGGGTACATATACCAAGTTTAATGACAATTCAAAATTCTTTAATAAAATATACTTAACTATATTTATATGTAAAACATAAAACGAGAAAATTGTATTGATAAATTAGTCATAAAAATTACAAACCATTCTGCAAGAACTTCAAGACATCTCATCTGTCCAAGAATCAACTCCACATCATCAGGATTCTGTTCTCGGGCAAGTTGGTAAGCTTTTAAAGCATTATCCCAGTCATGAAGTTTTTCATACCATCTCTCCTTCACTTTCTGATTGAGAAGGTAATAGTAGGTTTAATGGAACTAGAATAATAAAGCAGCTCGAAACAGAAAAGTACTTCCCCGTAACAAAATATTTATTTGAGAAGTTACATTCAAGATGAACGATAAATAATATCAACACATTCAAATCCTTGTTAATGTAACTTTTCAACCACACAGTTTAAACGTATGTATAAAAGTTAACTAGTTACCCTGCTAATCAATAATGATATCTATATAAAATTAAAAATTTTATGATGTTTACAGCAAACTGATTTGTTTCCTGTATCAGAAATATACTGCATAGGTTGTTAAAATTTTAAGAAAAATATTTATATTGAATGTAACTTTGCTTATTCTGCATTTAAATCAATATGTAAAATTGTTAGAAACACTTGAGAAGAGTTAAAGAAAACTATTTTATTATAAAACCACATTCTCCTTTTAAAGATTTATCAGAAAGAAATATTTTTATTAGTGTACTAACAATTTTACTATAATTAGGTGGCAGCAATAATATATAAATGAAATGAGCATCTAGAAGCCTGAAATTAAATTTTGGTCAAACCCTTCAACTTATACTAACTCCACTCAGGTAGTATATTTTTATTTTTGGATTTATTTATTACTTGACTGTGTTGCTATTATATTTTCTTTCAATATTTAGATTACCAATAAAGCAATCACGACTAGATTGTGTTTGTTCTTGTTTCAGCATATTTTTTACATATGTATGCACTACATGTCAATATGAAAATATTAAACTTCCTGTTTGATTGTGCTGCTAAAACCATTGAGAAAATATTAAGTAAAAAGTATACACAAATATTTAAACATCCATAAACACTACTTGTGTTTGATGCTTAAAAAATTATTTTCCACAGTATCATAAACAAAAAAATTCAAGAAATTTTCTTGAATATTTAGTAACTATAAATAAAATAAAAGCTACAATTATAATTAAATCTATTCTAAAAAGTCCTGAATGTAAGTTTTCCAATCGTATGCAAAGGATACAGAATGGCTCTGAATGGTTTCAGTCTATAAAAGTACTATATATCACTCACAATTATATATACATACATACATATATATATATATATATATATATATGTGTGTGTGTGTGTGTGTGTGTGTGTGTGTACAAATAATCCAATTGGAACTGTTTTCTTATACATGCAAATAAACTTCTTTGTTACTCTAAGATTTCATACTCTTTCCAAGTAATAATTATATTTTAAACATGTTCAAGTTATTACTTTTGACATTTTTAAACGTACTTGTATGGAATTACAGTATCACATATTAAAATCTTGTAGAAGACTATCAGATTTGCCATCAGTGCACTGCAGAGGTCATAAATTAGGTTAATGTTTTTTTTTCTACTTGTTCAATGGATGCAGATAAATAACTAAACACAAGTAACATTTTAATACTACAAACGGAAACTATAATTAACATAAATGTATAACAAGATTTCCTGTATATGTTTCATTTCATAACTACAACATTTAAAAAACATTTTTTCTTTACAGAAGTTACTGTTTTACTTGTTATTACTATATATATACGACTTTGTACACTTGTGAAGACACTAATTGGAAAATAAAGGTATACCAATACCAAATTTTAAATTTAGATGGACCAATGCTATGAAGAATACTGATGCAATGGAAAGAAAATAATTGACTGAATACCAGATAATACAAATAGCATAATGCAAAAGATATAGCTCAATTAATACATTTACATCCCTTGCCGTTTGCTTCTTTAACTCTTTAAACCTATTAGTTTTTGTACATTCTGCCAGAATTAATCATGATGCCCTAATAATTATCACCATACCTTATAAAATTCCCAGTATATTTATAAAAGGTGGATAAGTTAACATCTTCCTGAACTGCAAATGTATTTCCAATAATACTTACCTCTGCTGACACTATAGCTAATTCTCGATCTTCAGGGTTTCCACTCTTTGTCTATCTAAGCATTGAAAATGCTTGGTCCAATACTTATTTACCCTGCTCAAACGCCCTTGGCAAATTCTAATTTGCAAATTTCTCCACCAACTTCAATGCACCCTCTATCTAGGTATTGTATGTAAGCACCTCATTCAGATAATGTAATCATTTTTTTGACACATAAACTAGCTTTTAGTGGTAAGGTAGTGTCAGCGGAAGTATTATTGGAAATACATTTTCAGTTTAGGAAAATGTTAACTTCCAAAACATACTTACCTCCATTGACACTATAGCTAGAATCATACATTGAGAAGGAGGAAGGGCCAGTGCAGGCATGAACTGCAGAAAGCATCTGTATAGAACAGAAGTGTACCAATATAAAGATGGTACAAGAGTGGGGGAACCCAACTACATCCAGAGCAGGCATGTTCTTCACCAACTCAGTTCCTATATCAAAGGTGGAATAGAATACAAGTAATAGTCAGTACAGGCCAGCCCCAACCAGATAGCCGAGGTTCCACAACTTGGAGTTGGAATTAAAGGGTCATGGTGGCTAATGTTTACGTATTGTTTCATGAGAGACATGCAATTTCAGGACCATTTCATGTTGCCTTGGGTTAGACTCAACAAGTATCTTCAGAGCATTAATATCAATTCCAACATGTCAGCCCCTGCCATCACAGTTTTTAAGGCTAATTAACCTGAATGAAATTTGCTGAACCTTCATTGACACTTATGAATATTCAAAACATTTCTATAAACTTCTTTGATATTTTTTTTTGGCTACAAGGAGAAGTTGTTTCCCTTCTTGCATTGAAACAGCATTACATGCCAAATGTGTGTCTCATCGTGTGCCATCACTATAGGGGATTAGAGTATACTAAACTTTACACATTATATATGCTACACTAACATGACGTTTAGGCAGTTCGTTTAACTATTATACATGATGTACGTTTTTTGGGTGGTAGTTAATGAAAGTGTTCCAAAACGCAACATTAATTTCTTGACGACCTAATAAATTGTATGAGTTATCAATTATTACTGCAGTTTCTCTTATTAGACAAAAGGAATCTGGTGAGAAGTAACACCCAAAAGATTTCTCTCCTGTAATGATAATTCATTATAGGCTATTTGAATCAATTTACGACGCTATTGCATTAGAGTAATGGGAGATAAGTTACTGGAAATAGAAAGATTCCAATGAATGAACAATCGATTCCTACTACCTCGAAATGAGTTAGTATGAGCCACATAGCACTTGAGGATTCTAAAAGGATATAACAAAACGATCAGGAAAAAGAGTGGTTATAAAGGTCAGAAATGGCTGGCAAATGAATTGGTGAGAAGGATCTTTCCCCTTTCCTTGCTGTCAGAGGCTTTGGAAGAATAGACCTGTCGGGATAAAGCAGGACAAATGATAAAGAGTCCAATGCACATTGATTGCAAACAACTCTGAATGACATTGTCCACAAGCCAATAACAACAAAAAATACAATTTAAGAGAAAGGTGACACAAAGAACATGAAGCTAAATGCTCAAAGCAAGGATGAGACAATGAGTGTAAAACAGCTGTAAAATCCCAGTTTGGTAGTCATATGGGTCAAAAAATACAAAAAGATTTGAGTAGACCTAATAGTACTGAAAATTCAAAAACGTTCTAATATTTAGAATACCAAAACATAGTGGATAAGAATGCCTTATACAAAGTTACTGTAGACAAAGCAACACCCCTCTGAAATACCCAAGTCAGAAAATGGGATATGGTAGATACTTTAGGACAAAGAGGGTTTAAATTCCTTTTAATACACCAGTGATGATAAGTATTCCATTTCCATTGCTAAATGGCAGTGGTTGGCCGATGAAGAGATTTAGTTAAATACAGAGAAACCTTAGAAGTTAAACCCTTATGTCGGACAAAAGACTGAATAATATTCAAGCATGAAGATTGAGCTTCCAAACATCTGGGTGGAGAATGTCTGATCAAGGTTGTCTCAACAAAGACTGCCAGTGTTGAAGAGGTAGAGGTGGACATTTCTGCAGATATCAAAGAAGTGGAAACCACGTTTGAGCTGGCCAATATGGTACAATGAAGAGAACTCGACAGGGAGTGGAATAAACCATAGTCAGAACCCGGGACAATAGCAAAATTGGGGGAAAGGCATACAGATGCAAACCTGTCCAGTCCTGACTGAATGCAGCTACTGCCAATGCCTGAGGATGAGGTATCAGAGACCAAAACAACTGCAGTTAAGAATTCCAATGAGTTGCAAAGGCATCGATCATTGGAGATCTAAACTGAGAGCAAATCCATTGAAAAACCTTGTGATGTAGCATCCATTCTGTTGGAATAATCTGGTTGGGTCGAGACAGGTGATCTGAAATTAAACTCATCACTCCTGGAACATGACAAGCTAAAAGACTGATATGATGAACATGAGCCCAGTAGAGAAGATACAAGCTATGAAAACAAAGGTCTCAAGAATATGTGCCTCCTTGATGAGAAATCTGAGAAACTGCCATGGAATTGTCGGAATGTATCATGATAATTTTTCCCTTCAAGAGAGACAGAACTTGAACCATAGCCCAGTGTAATGCAAGGAATTCGAGAACGTTGACATGAAGGGTAGACTCGTCTTCTGTACAAATACTCTGGAACTCATGACCTTGAAGATAAGCTCCCCATCCCTGAAGAGATACATCTGTAAACAAATGGATCTGAGAACGAGGTGGTGGAATGGGTGCTCCAATAGTAATGTTGTTCCGAATCAACCACCATACACAATCGACAATGTTGCTCCTGAGTAATGAGACAGGATGATCTAAAGGGTTGGAATGCATGATCCAATGGTCACACAGTGACCATTGAAGAAACCTCATATGTGTTCATTTAAGAAGGAATGAGAGGTTCAAGGGATGCCCATATCCCCAAAAGAGAGAGAACCATCTGCACAGTAGGAGGAAACATTAGTAAAAGCCTGACAGCTCTTTCCATGGCTTGTAACCTAATAGGGGTTGGCTGAGCTTGACTTAAGTGAGTATTGAAAAACTCACCCAGATGGTCAAGATATTGTGTCAATGAAAGAATAGATTTCTCCAGTCTGATAAGAATACCCGCTTTCGTGGCTTCTGAAAGGAGAATCTGATAGTGTTATTCTGGTAATTGATGGGATGGTGCCAGAAGGAGTCAGTCATCTGTATAATGATGTGTGCATAGACCCAATGAATGCAAATGATGAGAAAAAGCTCGTACAACTCTGTAGAAGACAAAAAGTGCTGATGCAAGACCAAAATGTAGAGCCCTGAACTGCAGGACCTGACCCTTGTGCACAAAACTGAGAAATCTCTGGGAAGATTCTGCTATAGGAATATGAAGATACGTGTCAGTAACATCAAACCTGGTCAACCACAGTCCTGTGGTAAAGTACCATCGTTGGTTGAGAAAAGAGTCCATAATAAAGTGAGGAGGATCTAACAATTGGTTGAGTCGAGACAGATCAATGATTGGATGCCAATATCCTGTCTACTTGGGTAGAACAAATAAATGGGAATAAAATCATGGGAGAACTGGATCAACTATTTCTACTGCCTTTTTGATTAACAATTCTCTTATGGCCTAGGAACAAAGCTCCACTTGTTGTGGATCTGTTGGAGATGAAAAGGCAGATAATGGTGGAGGTGATGTAAATTGAATGACCAACCCTGAACATGAAGTACCCATGGATCCCTGGCGAGAGAGCTTCAGATGTCCAGAAAGTGATGTAATCTTGCTCCCACTGCTCCCCTGCCCAAGGGATAGTCATCGACGCCATTGTCTGTTCCAGTTGAAGATCCTCGAGAATATGAACGGACTCTATTATGGGAATCAATAGACCTATGAACCGAGGGAGGAGGTCAGGAAACACTATGAGCTGACATTCCTAAATTTGCACCATAAAGGCGAGAAAGCTCACAATGATAAAGAAGAACGTAAACAAGCTGAATCAATTCCTGATTGCAACATCTCTGAAACTTCGGAAAACCCAATGGGATGGAAAAAAGGAGCTTCACGTAACTCCCTGAGAGCAGATGGCAAAAGAACATTTTCTAACAAGGCATCTATACCCAGTAAATCCCAAATTGCTAAGGGAAATGTTGATAGGTTTCCGACAAAATTTGGATCAAAGAGAAATACCTTAGGACAGTAATGAGAGTAAGATGAATCCAAGAAAACTGTGATCTGTTCAAAGTGATCACAGGTTCCAATCTAGAACCCCATAGGTCCAAAAGGAGGTCCATCCATTGAGAATCTAAATATAACTCTTCCAGGCAGTGAAAAGCCAAATGATGCTGTTCGAATAAATGTGGGAGACAAGGCATAGCTATCCCATCATGTAAGTGAGCAGCACATCTCCCAGCATGAACAGCAATATCAGGAGGAGGAAGAAGAAAACCAAGTAGTCACTTGCCGTCCTTTCTGCCAAAAAGGAAGGAGTAGAGTCAAATGCAATAAGAGAGACCTACAAAACCTCACAAATCCAGGTAACCAACTGAAGAATAGGAGGTGGAGGTGGCTGATCAAGAGGATCCTCTGTTGAAGCCGACCTAGTAAAAGAAGGAGCCGGAAAAAGCAATTCTAAATTCTCTCCAGTTGATCCCGAGTCATTTGCAAAAGCTGCCGCAGAACCCCCTGGAGACACACCTTTGGTTCATATATATGTCTCCATATCACAATTAATTTAAAAATATAAGTGAAGATACAACCATAGTCATCCAAACTACATCCAAAGTCACAACATAAATTATGTGAATAATCATAACACTTCTGTTTATGGAAACCTGTGCCAAACGCTTTGTCAAGAAAAAGTGATTACACTGTCTGAATGAGGTGCTTATATACAGTACCTATATAGAGAGTGCACTGAAGTTGGTGGAGAAATTTCAAATTATAATTTGCCAAGGGCATTCGAGCAGGGTAAATAAATATTGGACCAAGCATTTTCAATGCTTAGATGGACAAAGAGTAGAAACCCTGGAGATTGAGAAATAGCTATAGGGTCTGTGGAGGTAAGTATGTTTTCAGCCAAAGAGATATAACTGTTATTGGACACTATCACTGTCCAATGGGTAAATCAGGATTTTTGGCCAGACGCTGGCAACTATTGTTTGTTATTAAGCAGAAAGCTACACAGAGGGCTATCTGTGCTCTGCCCACCACAGGTATGGAAACCAAATTTCTAGTAGTATCAGTCATACCACTGTGCCACTAGGAGGTGATGCGGGCAGCATGTATGTTAAACAAATACGACTATATAACAGAGAAAGCTCATATTAAAGTTAACACTGCGAGTTATGTACCAGAAAAAAACTATAATCTTTAAAAACGAAGAATATTGACAAACATTTACGTGCACTAAACACTATTTGTAGCAATATTCAAGTAAAATAAATATGTATTAAATATTAACTTTTCTTCAGAGAATTGAACTCAATTTATATTTTTCACATTTTGTAGGAAGGATGATGTATTTTATATCACTCCACACCCAAAAGAACTAGATGTGTACATTGAGGAAAGTAATCTTAATAGCAATTAGATAAGTAAACAATCTCCCGATTATGTTTACATACAATAAGATAAACGATTAATCTTTAATCAAATGTAAGAAATTATCAGTGATGTGTTTCTGAAATACAGATCAGTTGAAGAACAAAGTTTCACAACTGATGTTGATCTTACACCACTCATGTGATTTGAAAATCAAGTAAGCAATAAGTCTACAAGTACTGAAAATAGAGTTATAAATACCTGTGGTAATGTCAGATACATATAACTATTAGTATTACCTTTAGGCATTAAAGAAACAAAGGGATTTTGTATTCAGTGTTAATGACATGCAGTTTTCTTAAAGTAAAATTAATTTGAGGTTATCCTGTTGGCAAACTTCACTGACAATGATAATAAACTAATCTGAATAATTTTGAAACTCTTAAAATATTTCAAGTGTTAGCTGTTTGTTAGTCTCCTAATAAAAATGAAAATGGACAATAATAACAAAAACTGGTACCACTGTGTTTCTCGTGTGTACTTAACCCTAATTGTGTGATTGAACTTTCTCTCCTTATAATGGTTACATAGTTTCACACATCAGTTAGCAAGAAAAGTACAAAAAATCAGTTTTTATATTTATTGTTACTATAAATTCTAGTTTCATGCTGTCGGTAGACAACAATTACAATGCCATAATCATTACCAAGCTTTCAATTCCAGACAGTCATATCACGTAACACTCATCTCTTTAAACATTAAAATTTGTTCTACATGAAAATAAAGCTTGAATATTACTAATGGATTGAATACTTTAGATGTCTGTTTGTGATTACTTGGCTGTTGGATTAACAATTCTTACTTCAGTGCTTTACACAAAGGTAAGTAGACAAATGTTTATTTATAGACTTGAATTTTATGAATTACTGCTTGATGACTGGAGAAAACCAGTTATTTATCATCTGCTCATTTTCATTAAGTTTAAAAAAAAGACAATTTGAAGTACTTTGAAAGTTTATATGTGTACAAAACCTGTATATACTAAAACTACATAATCTATTTACTTATTCTATGTCAATTAAGAATCATAACAGAAATATAATAATGTAAACAATTCCTTAAAGAACTAACCAGTTCACTTCCATGGTTTTTCATGGCATACTCTAGCACCCCAGCTGCAGCTTCAGGTTGTTGAAGCTTATTGTTGATACTAAAAACACCATAATAAATTAATTTTCATCAAAATAATTACCTTCAAAAGAAAATTCAGATACAGCTTAATATTTCTTAATAAACATTTTAAATATTAAATTAAATGGATAGAATGCATATAGTGAAATCTAGTAGTTAAAACCTTTTGAAATAATATGCCTCTTAAAAAAGTTAGACCGAAACCATATGTTGTGAAGTAAGCCTATTTAAAAAATCTGCTATTTGGCAGTTACAAAACATAAATGACTAATTATATAATGTAGGTAATCTGTAGCTATCATAATGCTGTCAACCTTAATTCAAAACCAAAATGATAATCCACAAGGTAAAGCAATAACTTTTTTCATTTGACACAGGGTCTTCAGTGTAATAAAATTATCGTTCCGAGAATACGGGTTGTAGTTTTAAAATATAAGGCCAGATTGTTATAGTTTAAATGGCCATATAAATAAAATGTGAACCAAGAAAATGGAGATTACCTAATAAGTGCTTCAAGCACTTCTGTTGTTGGCTTTCTGTGGAACTCATCTTCCTTGTAGTGCAATGCTTTAGCATAAGCTCTGCATTTCATGGCTCGCTGTCCCAGTACTGAGGGTTCAAGTGGTAAAGGACCCTAGCACAATTCAAAGTAAGAAAATGTCAATTTTTCAATGTTAGGAATTGTTTACAGTAAAGAAATTGTTATGGGAAGTCAGAAAAAACTTCTAACCTAAGTCTTATTTTTTTAAATAACCAGAGTTCTCCATTAAAAATCCACTATTTAACACAAAAAATTAAGATAAATGTTTGAACTTTAGAAGATTAAATACTACTTCTGAAAAATTGGTTATGGTTACATGCTAAGAAGAATTTTTAGCACTGGCTAAAGCACAAGTTTTTATTCACTAAAATTATGGAATTTTACTGAAGCAAGTTGATCAGTCTGCAGTCCAGGTAGTGTAGACCAGTTCCTAATTTAGATCCATAACAACAAGGAGGCAATCTGTCAGCAGCAGATATGTTGTTTATGAATTACTTACTATTAATTTATTTTACTTTATCTAATTATTTATTTATTTTTAAATAAAGTTCTCAATGAAAACAAAAGAGTGCACTTTTCATATAAAAACTACCAAATTAATTGCTATTCAACACTAAAGCAACTGGGTAAACAAAAAGAAGTGTGTTAGCGGAGCAATCTCATTCTTTTTTTTTTTTAGCTGGTTTCCTATTCAAACCTATTTTGGCATTGTTGTTTCAGCCATTCTAAACACGATTCAGATATGACCATCTACATTTCAATGCATGTTTTGTTGCAGAGACTGTTATTGCCTTTTGTGGTATTTCTTTAGTTTTTACAAAGTCAAACCATCTGATGTTAAGGATCTTTCTTATACATTTGCTTGCAAAAACATTTAGTTTTTGGTGAATAATTTAATTTTATATCCACATTTCCGCTCCATATGGTACGACAGAACACCTTGCTCTGATCACATATTTCTTTTTGTATTCTGGATAATGATTCTTCATTACTAGATGTTGACTAATTTTTGATAGGTTGAACTTGCTTTTCCTATTTGCGATTTAATATCTGCGATGACATCTTTATTTTGATATACAATGCTGTTGAGATATGTACACTTGTCTACCCTTTCAAGTGGTTCTCCTACTAAATATGTTTTCATCTTTGATTAATTATTTAGTTTGGTTTTGGTTTGAATTTCATGCAAAGAGGGGTATCCCAATTTAGCAGTGGAAGACTAGAGAGAAGGCAGCTAGTCAACACCAACCACCACCAGATGACATCTTTATTTTGATATACAATGCTGTTGAGATATGTACACTTGTCTACCCTTTCAAGTGGTTCTCCTACTAAATATGTTTTCATCTTTGATTAATTATTTAGTTTGGTTTGAATTTCATGTAAAGCTACAAGAGGGGTGTCCCAATTTAGCAGTGGAAGACTAGAGAGAAGGCAGCCAGTCAACACCAACCACCACCAGCTCTTGGGCTACTCTTTTACTAATAAATAGTGTGAATGATTGTTACATTATAATGCACTCACAGCCGAAAGGATCAACATGTTCAGTGACAGGGATTGAACCCTCAACACTCTGTCTTTTCTTGCACCTCTGCTCTGGTGTTATTTGAGAGGTAGGTATCAAATTCTAGATCTCTGAGATTTTTATCATCCTGCAAACAGATTTCAGTTGTTCATATTACGGTCTATCTCATTATAAAGTCTATGGTGATTTCGAAAAGAACAGGAGATTGTATACAGGCTTGTCTAATACACATTTTTACTTCAAACCAACCACTTTATTCATTGTTAACACTGGCAGTGCAATATGATCCATCAAAGGTGTTTTAAGTGATAGATTAGATGTCACAACTTATAAGAATAATCAAAGATTGGTCTTTACAGTCAACTGACCAAGTTTAGTTTGACACCTATGGTGAAAGTCTTGGACAACTAATCTACAAAAGTAGTCCAGAAAGAAAAAGAAGACATTTCAAAAGACTTCCATCTTTTGTTTTATGGTTTGAAGACAAAAGGCGGAGTCTTTTGAAATGTCATCCTTTTCCTTCTGGGCTACTTTTGTAGATTAGTCATTCAAGATGTTTTTCACAAGTGTCACACTAAACTAAGCAGTTGCTGCCGATTTCACCTTTGTTCGTTCATAATGAAGATTCTACCTAAATCACCTATATTAATAACCATTTATAACCAATAACCATATTATAATTTTGTTGTAGATGCACTGTCTTCATATTTTTGTTATATCCTTGTTTCTCAACCTCACTGTAAGAATATTTGTTGTTTATTTATTAAATCAAACATATTTAAGATGGGTATTGCCATTAATTAATAGTCACCAAACTCAGCCAAGCTGATATTCTGATAGATAATTAAAGGATTAAAACAGTTCTCAGTATTTATTCTGCCTGAAAAAAAAACTGAAATGACCTTGACAAGATATCCATGAGCAAAGTTAAGACAATGAATTTTTTGTATGTTTCTGTGCTATTAATTTATCCGGCAGTATAAAATACATAGAAGGAAAATTATAAAAAACACAACTAACTTGCAATGCTTTTATTTCAACTTACTCAAAAATAAGAAAATATAGCTAACCGATTATAGTCAACAACTGATTAGTTTTGTTAAATCAATTGTCTATTTTAATGTTTCAATTAATTCCTAACACTAATACTGATAATATGTAAAATCACAAAATGCAATAAATTCAAAAAGTCAATACAAATTCTTCTTAACCTTACATGTATTGCTGTATTTGTTTAAAGAGCTACACAAAAGTTGTTCTGTATTCTTACCTGTATTTCTATTTTGTTACAGAACTACTGAAATCCTTACATTTATATCTTTATCATGCTAAATCAATTTTAAAATTCCATAACCTTACTGTGAAATCTCAATACCTGTATATTTGCTCACTAATATTATGTAGACTATCAATATTAGTTCCCTAAGTACAAAACTCCACAAACTTGATCTTAAAATATATCTTACAACAGACATTTTTATTACAAGATGAATAAGAAATTGGAAATTCAAAAACCTACAAATAGGGATCTTAAAAAAAAGTAAGG